TAGGGTGGATGGGCGCCCGCAGGGGCAGGGTAGGCAGACCCGCGGTACTCGCCTGCCGTGCGGCGTTGCCTATCCCGACTCACTCGGGCGCTCCATGTGTAGTCAGTTTCGCATCCCTTCAATATGGTTCACTTTTCTAAAGTTCTGTTTTCTGTTTATTTTCCAGTACCGAAACAAACTTAGTGACCAACAAAATCTGCAGATAAATCAACAGAGGGAAACGCTGTGTCAGAAGCAAGAAGAAGTCAACGAGATTGATAGACGCATATCAGAGCTTCAGGAGAGGCTTCACCGGAAACGTCTCCTCAACCAACAATTAGCTAACCAAATTACAGTTGCTAACAATAAACAGAACAACACTTCAATCAATCAACACAATCTAAGGTAAAGTTTTTACTGCACATAATTATTATGAATTTTGGCTCAATTTGTTGGCGATGCCGTTTTGATTAATAGGTGTTGTATAATTTCAATACACAGATCGTCACTTTTATCTGCTAATCAGCATCAACAGCAAAAATACCATGAGCATCAAAAGGCCCTACTATCTAATTCTGTTAAAGGGTTTAATAAGCAGCCACTCCATCGCCCTTTAGATGGGTATCCCATCATACCTAATAACACAAATTGTGTTGATACGTCGACCGACTCTGAAAAATCCCTAAAGAATTATTCCCCTCCCTCACCTCAAGGTCCTATGCCAGTGAATGCATACCTTATCACAAGTGCTCAGAATCAAAAGGCACTATCATCCTCTCCAGATGAACTTTCTTCACAGGTAATTAATGATTCCTTCGAATTCATGTTTGTAAGAAGTCATTACCGGTACTTATTGTGCATGTGTCTTACTATAAATTATTTTTGCGCAGCTCCAAAAGTCAACTCAAGAACCTCAGCAACCAGAATTAAGATTTGGAGCATCTCAAGATGATTTCCACATGAAGCTTCAGCATCAGAAGCAAACAGCTCGCTTCTCATCCCACAATAACAATATGAACTGCATCAACAACAACAATAATAATAATCTACCCTCTAGTATAAACAATAATGTCAGCATGAAGAACAACACTGTGCAGGCAGCAATTATGTCAATGAGTGCTGCATGTAATGAAGAAAAAGATGAATTCCTATTAGAATTTTCAGGGAACAAATCAGATCCTAAATACCAAACATTGCCCTACAAATTTTCTCCAAACTCCTTACAAACTTCAACATCAATTTTACCTTCCCCAGTGAGCTCAAAATCTCTTAAGACCGATTCTGGTAGTAGCTCAGACGAAAACAATAAAGGGAATACCAATACTGGATCTGCTCGGGGAATTTTGCCCACTCAGAATTCTGGGGCAAAAGTTCCCAGCGTAGATCTTCTAAGTCAGCATCATGTTCCCTTTAACAAGATCAACACAACTATCCCATCTTCAATAGCTAATGTTCAATCAAGGTGCGGACGCAACGGTCTCATGTGTTTTCTGAAGTACTATTTTTTTTACTGTATTCTAACATGAAAGTTACAAATGTCTATCATCTACAGAGTTTATGGAGTTTCATCAATGGCTCAGAGAGGTCAGCCTGTTGGAGGGGCAGTTTCATCTTCCTCTAGCAGTATGAGCAATAGTTCAAGTCCTACAGTAACTTCAGTGTCAAACACTAACTCAACAACCACCAACCACCAGGTTCGTATTTTTAAATTGAAAAATTATTTATTTGTACGTAGTTGTTTAGTTATTACAGGTAGTTAATTTTGTAAATGTAATTGGTTGTTGTATTATTTGTGTGGTTGGGGTAATCCTTGGCATTTTGGTAATATTCAAACTCTTCTCTTATTTCTGTCCCTTCCTGTGAGGATTTACCTCACATCTATCTATTTTATTCATATGCATTAAACCATGAATCATTTTGTGCCTGTGGGGAGAAGTGATTTATAATTTGAATCACTCATATCTCATATAATTACAACAATTATCAAAGTGACTCCAAGCCTGATAATGTGCACATTAAAATTTTCCTGCGCTTTCCCTTGTATTGTGCCTGTTAAATGTTGTATCAGAACCCCCTAAAATATTTAAATAGATTATTACAATCTTAAACTATATTTGTCCTTAAGTAATGTATATGATTGTTGGGATTGGGTAGCACTGCTTTCCTCTGTAGGAAAATATCTCATTCTTCTGTTTTATTTATGCATAGGTCGGTATTGTGGCTCCATGTGGTCCTGAACTGACAACCACAGCAAATTGGGCCGCACGAGCAGCACTTGGCTCTGTGTCCTCGACTATCGTTACTGCTGCTCCCACTAACTTCAACCAAGTCCCAGCTCTTTCTACCCCCTCTTCCACTAACAAGGCTTCTTCAAATCCTGTCCTTACCCCCGTTTTGGCAACATCAGCTATTCTGGCCCCTACCAAGTTGGATTCCTTGTGTCAGTTGACACGGCTGCCAGTTGAATCAGGATCTGTTGTGTTGCCTCCTACTCCACTCACTCTGGCTAATCAGGTGAGATTGTGGAAACAACAAGTTCATGTAGTGGCTCATTACGTAAACTTCTATCATCAGTTCATCAGAATCTGTTCATCAATGGAATGGGGAAATTAGCTTTGCATGTTTATTGAAATTTGAAAGCATGTGTAGAGATCCTAGTGTAATGCTTTAGAGACTTTGAGGGTGTATGGTTGATGTAATTCAAATAGTTTTACAAGAAAATTTATTATACTTCTTCAATTGTCAAAAGGTTGTGAAAACTTTTTATAGGTTTTTAATTGCTATATTTTCTTACATTCAAGCAGAAGCCTGTAAGCAGTATAGCCCCAACCTCTGTCCAGCATCAAAAACCATCTCCTATCTATCAAACATCATCAACTAAAATACACCCTATTCAACCCCAAGTGTTGAGCTCTACACCTCAAGTTAGTATTTGTTACTTATTCCTTATCTTTTAATTAGAAGTTATTTTTGTCAATTTGAACGTTACTTTAAAAAACTAGCCATGCAACTTATCATATTTCCTCATTTTTTAAGGGAGTTTTAAAGGAAAGAAAAGGAGATATCTCACCACCACAGAGCACTTCAACACCTCTTAGCACTCCAGATGTTACATCAGATAGAGGAACTATTGGAAAGCCAGCACTTCCTCCAAAACCAGCTGTCCCAATTAAACCAACACCCCCACCAAGGCAAACTCAACATGTCCCTCCTTACATGGAAAGCTCACCAGGATGGCTAACCGACCCTAGATCTACCAACCCATCATGGGGAAGTGAGAATAGGCCTACTGTTGAAGTTACATCTGATGTAGAAAATAACCCTCTTAGAGCTGGTGTCTCCATCTCAATAAGGTATTTAGTTGGTTTTGTTCAACTGATGTTGACCAGAATAGATGTAATATTTATCTACTGACCTTTGTCCTTTTTTTATTTTCAGAGGAATCACGACTCAGCATTCTCTTAGTCAAACGCAACCTGAATGTCTGAGTCAGAACTCCAGCAACTACCATCAAAATATTCAACAAAAAGACCCATCTCTTCAAGATGCCTTACAAGAAGCTCTCCAAGATGTTGATGAATCTAACAGCTCCACTCTTAGTCCTCCCCCACCACCACCAACAACAGAACCTCCAGAAGAAGTAACAAGCTTCACATGGAGAGCAAATAATGAAAATCAGTCTTTAAAAAATAAGCCACTTGGCTCATCAAAGCAGCAACTGACATCTGAAAGCTCAAAACATCATAATGCTGGAGTTGGAAACCTAAACACATTATCAATGCTCAACAACAACATTACCACCAACATTGGTGGTAACCTGAATTCTAGCAACCATAATAATAACTCCATGCACATGGTGTCTCTTAGTCGCCGAATTGAAATGCCGCCAGCTTTTCTATTTCCTGAAAATGAAACACCACCAGCTGATCTCATTTCTACAAGAGATGATAACAGAGTAAGAGAAAGTCCTTTTTGTGTGTGTTGTGTGTATTGTGCAATCACCAAGTTAAGCCTCAATGTATTAAACTTCTTGTTTTTAACCTAGGCTACAAATAATATTCATGAAAATTCCGGTTCACATGATGAGACAGATCGCATAATGCCTCTTGGTGCAACTGATTGTAACTTACCGGATGAAAATAATAAGCAAACGCATTCTCATGATGATACAAATAAATGTGTATCAAACGTCAATGATATCATTGAGACTATGAACAATTTAAACACAACAGGTCCACAACTTGATGACAACCAGCCTGTCATCAATGAGACCAAAGGTACTGTATTTGATTGGTATTTATGTTGTTTGTGTTTATTTTGTTGTTGGCTTTTCTGGTTCCAAGCACAAAGTAATACAAATGTGAATGATCTGTTATCTCAGGGGAATCATCGCCTTTACACATTGTAAGGAGGGCTAAGAAAGGCAACTTAAAATCAGGGAAAATGTCAGTGACAGGTTCTGGGTCAAGAAGAGTAAGCTTTGATCCATTAGCTCTTTTGCTTGATGCCTCGTTAGAGGGTGAGCTAGAACTTGTACGGAAGACAGCTGGTCAAGTATCAAATCCAAGTGCAGCCAATGATGAAGGAATAACAGCTCTACACAATGCTATTTGTGCTGGTCATTTGGATATTGTGAAATTCCTTGTGGAATTTGGTTGTGATGTTAATGCTCAGGATAGTGATGGCTGGTAAGTGTAACCTTCTCATTACATAAAAATGTTTCATTTAAATATCTTTTAAAAGAAACTAAAGAACACACTATTCATACCTTTCTTTTTCCCCCTTTTTTTTTTTGTATATCCAGGACTCCACTGCACTGTGCTGCTTCATGTAATAATCTGGCTATGGTCCGTTTTCTAGTTGAACATGGGGCATGCATATTTGCAACTACTCTTTCAGACCATGAAACAGCTGCTGAAAAATGTGAAGAGGATGAAGAAGGATTTGATGGCTGTTCTGAATATCTTTACAGTATGCATCAGATAAATTATAGCTGATTTAGAAAGCAATTGCTCACTAAATTAATCCATATTTTATGTCATGACAGGTGTTCAAGAAAAACTGGGCATTCTTAACAATGGGGTTGTCTATGCAGTATTTGATTATGAAGCCCACAACTCTGATGAACTTGCCTTCCATGAGGGGGATAAAATGGTTGTCCTCAGGAAAGGTGACGAGTGGGAGCGAGAATGGTGGTGGTCAAGATTAAATGATCAGGAAGGTTACATTCCTCGCAATCTTCTAGGGGTGAGTCAATTTAATTAACGTTCATATTAACCACACTGTACTGTAGTTAAGTACACTATCTCCTCTTCTCTTGGATGTACAGACATAAAATTACATCATAGGTTGGATGCCTGATTTTTTAAGTCATATTTTCTTACAGCTCTATCCAAGAGTACATCCTAAGAAGAACTCTGAATGACATCTGGAGCTCCTTTCAAGAAATTAGC